TGTTGTCATCCTAAATAATGTAGGCCATGGAGGTATTTTAAATCCAAGTTCAAAAACACAGGCTTGTGGCCAACCTCTCCGAGACACAGTGCACCTGTGGGTGTGTATTTTGTACTTCTGGAACTTTATTTTTGTTGTTTTGTTGGTTGGTGTTTTGTTTTTTTTTTTTAAATTTATAATGTCAGTGAAGCAGAGTCCAAGTTTCTGAGTAAGCAGAGAGGCACTTGGAATTTAATAAGGTTGTATTGTTGCCTGCACATGGGAAGACACAAGAATCTCCTGCTTATGTGATTTATATTACTCTGTTTCTCTGCTTAGTGCCAGCAAAGAGCCTTGTGCTTGTCTGTGCTGTTGCATTAAGGTTTTATAACAGATCCAGCCAGGTAGTTTCTGTGTATCACAAAGCACCTGCAAACTAAAGCACTTTGAGGCACAATGAAGGGAACATTTCAGAGATGGTTTTGAGAGTTAGTTTTGGTTTGCACTGCAGAAGAGAAGTGATGGCAAATTCTAGGGCACAAAACCTTGTCCAAAAGAGGCAGAGGTATAGTAAGTCCCATGAAACAAAGCAGAGAAACAGGCCAGACCAGGACAAAGAGAAGAATAAGCTGTCAAAGCTGGTAATAATGCAGTTCAGCAGAGAGAGCTGTAAACAAGCATCTGTCTTCTGCCTGGGCTGAGGTGACTTTACTGGATGCTGAAAAGGAGAACATGAGAAGGCTTTGACACTGTGTGAGGAAGGACACACAAGTGGGTGATGCATTTAGAGGAACATTGTAAGCTGAGCTTTGCTGGCAATCATTTTGTCCATCTGCAGAGGCAATGTCTCTGCAGATGTCAAGAGAAAGCAGTAAAGAGGAGCCAGTTGTCAGCAAGTTAACGAGATGGTCATGCCTTGGAGAAATGTCAGGACAGAGGATATCCCAGGGTCTAGAGATTGTAGGATTATGGAAGAAGAACATACAGCATTTGATCATAGGTCAGACATCTGTGAGAAAATTATGGAGTTAGCTGCTCCCAGGCCCTCAGTCTACAGAAATAACACTATGTGGAAGTAAAAGTGAAAAAGTATAGGAGGAAAAATTAAAGGCCCTTCTGTCCACCTGTGATGAACTCAAGTTGACTCATCCAGAGCAATATGTCAGAGGCAGGCACAATTATTCAGTGAAACAGCTGCAGGGAAGCAGCTTTGTAAGTCAGCAGCAAAGAAACAACACATGCAACCTGGAGTGGATGGGGTGGCTTCCCCAGCACGCCCCTTGGATACCCTCCATCCATATCCTGCTCTGTTGCAATGTGCTACATGTTGGTATAACCAGAATAACAATTTAAAGTGAAAATTATTCCTTGGTCACTCAGCCTTTCACCCCTCTCAAACCTAAACTGGTTTTATTGTATCTCTGATGGTGATTTTTTCCTAGAAGGAGAGTCCCAAAATGTGACACATGATAATTATTGCAGCACGTGTATTTATTTGGTATTAATTTCCTGCCATCTACTGACATTCATGATGACTCTCACACCTTCTTGAATGAAAAAAATGTTGGACAGATGGAGGCATTCTACAGAATGCAGATCTGGCTTTGGGTCTAAATCACAAAGTACTGCAGTAAAGGTTTTGATATACTCAACTAATTTGCACTTTTGTACATGGGGCAAGAACCTAAGCTCTTTAGTGAGGGTGTGTTGTACTTTTCCATCTGATTTAGAGCTCTCTCTTACTGAGGTACATGGCTGAAGAGGTCACCTGTGTTTGATTTGGGAATGATAAAGTTTGTCCATGAATTAAGTACTAAGGCAAGTCTACAAATGAAACAGAGAGGGCTTGAAACTTAGGTCTGCTTGTAATGTGCATGTTGAAAAGCCATTTTGAAAAGCATTCTAAAATTTGCTCTTATCTGGTTGCCAAATCCTCAGTGGTTTGATCCACATATTAGGGTTTTCCTAAAGAAAAAAAAAAAAAAAAAAAGCTTCAGATGAATCTATTTACGTAGGAAAAGATCTTGAAAAACAACTGCACAGAGGCCAGGATCAACATCTGAACACGGGCTGAGTTGTTACATTTTTAAAATTGTTCCTTTCATTAGAGGCATGAGGGATATCTCAGGCATCTTGGGGCCTGATTCAGAGTTGTAAAATCCTAAACTAGTAATTGCTCTGCTGGGTGAAATCCCACCTTTATATCTGCAAGGTTTCTAAACCCAGCTCCATCCCAACTCCAATAAGGGAAGCCCACCTTGCCTATTGTGCTGCTGGCTATAGCAGCTGCACTGCTGAATTGTGATGGTTCAGATCTTCTGCAGAAACATGACCCCCAATAAGGGGACCAGCAAATTTATTTACATCTGGTTGCTGCCTTTGCATTTAGGCAGTGACCAGAGCTACAAAAATAAGAGTGGTTGCTCAAGCAACTGCACTGCATGCCCTAGAGATACCCTGGGGTGAGTGCTTGGTATGTGCCAAATATTTTTGAGCTCTTTGCTGCAACCAGGTAGCAAGGAAGCATCAAGGTGAGGGAAAGCACAAACTTCTGTGAACAAAGAAAGCATGACCCTAGGCAAGAGGGCTGCAAAGCTGGGGTAGTGGCAGTCTGGTCCTAGAGTGAGTGGGCACCTACAGAAAAACCCCTGGAGGAGGTGTGGCAGAATTGGGCTGCAGGGTGCCAGAACTAAGAACTTTTCTGTTTAAAAAAGGACTTTCAGTGAAGCAAATACCTGGATGAGAAAATTGTAGAATCATAGAATGGTTTGGGTTGGGAGGCACCTTAAGGATGGATGGACACCCAAACCTTTAAAGCGTTCTCTGCCAATTTCCAAGAAAGCGACAAGGAAGATTGTTATGAAATCTTTGCCAGATGGGAAAGCTCTTCCCCAGGAACTCTAGTAATTCTCCAGCCATGTGGGAAAAAACTTGTCTTAAATGAAAGTATCATAAACCAGACTCAATAAATTGATCGTTTGCCCAAAAAGCAGGTGCTCAACCCTATTTCTGATCCTGGACACAGCAGCATGAATATGAAACAATTTGATCAAAGCCATTAAGCAGCAGAGGTGAAAGCTCAGAGGAACATCTGGCTTAATGCAGTAACAGAATCTGGACCAAATGGATTTCAAGCATCTGCATTTGCAGTTATTCTAGTCTATGAAAAGATAACCAACAGCTATAGAGATATTCCTGAAATGTTTAAAACAACTAAGGTCATGATCCCTGGTGACAGACTGTGCTGTACATACAGACTTGGAGTACTCAAGCCCAGAACAGCTTAAACTAAAGCATCTAATGGGATCCAGGATTTGCTCTTCTCCCTTTCACTCAGGAGCAGCTGATTTCAGCCAAATTCACTGTATTAACAAGAAAAACTTCTTGCTGACAGGTGTTCAACACTGAGATTGTTTAAAATGCCAACTAAGATTTTTTTTTCGTGTGTCACTAGACTGCATTGCCAAACATCTCATCACAAGAATGCCTGAAAATTCAAAAATGAGTAACATTTTTTGGCAGGGCAAGGCTTTGCAGCATTGGAACAGAGAAATCTTGGAGGGAGAGAGACAAACACACAGCTGGGAGCTGAAAAGGCTTCACCAGCCACTCACTGTGCCCATCCCAGATGATTTATTTGCAGAATTCCCAGCAGTGGAAAGCTGTTAGGGCAAGAGGGGCCAGAGGTGGAGAACCCAGCAGGAAACAGCTTCAACCAATAGCCTCACAGAAGGGGTAAAAAAAGCATCCTGGGCTGCATCTCAAGAAGCATGACCAGGAGGTCGAAGGAGGTGATTCTTCCCCTCTAAGGGTAGCTTTAGCTTAGACTTAAGGAAAAAATGCTTTCCTGTGAGGGTGGGGAGACACTGGCACAGGTTGCCCAGGGAAGCGATGGATGTCCCATCCCTGGAAGTGTTCAAGGTTGGAAGGAACTTTAAGCAGCCTGGTCTAGTGGGAGGTGTCCCTACCCATGCAGAGGGGTTGGAAGCAGATGATTTTTAAGGTCCTTTCCAGCCCAAGCCTTTCCATGATGCTCCAAATGACGAC